TAGTGAGTTAAATGTAAACCTATACAATAAAAGTATTATTCATATTTCTTTTTCCAGGTTCACATGATACAATATGTTCTCGTAAGTTCGATATTAACTAACTAAAACATTATTCATACCACGTTTTCAGGTTTTTGCAATATAACAAATTATGGTGAGTTCGACATTAATTAGTTAATAACAAACTAAATTCATACCTCTTCTTTTAGGCCCATGTAATAGAAAAAGAAATGGTGAGTTCGATTTAAACCTATAAACTACAAGAATTACTTCTAACTTTTCTTTCAGGTTCACATGATAAAACACTATTGGTGAGTTCGATATTACTTAATGAACAGAAAACATTTTTTATATCTTTCTTTTAGGTGTTTATGATACAAGAAATCTTCGTAAGTTCGGTATAAATTACTTAATAGGAAACAGTTTTGACATTTCTTGTTTCAGATTCATGTGATAGAAGAAAATAGTGAGTTCGATTGAAACCTATAAACCAAAAGAGTTATGTCTATCTCTTAGTTTAGGTTCATATAATAAAATAAATCATGGTGAGTTCGATATGAATCAATTAATAGCAACTAATATTGATATCCCTTGTTTTAGCTTCATGTAATAGAAAAACAAAGAATGGTGATTTCAATTTAAACCTATAAACTAAAAGTTTTAAATATATCTCTTTTTTCCAGATACACATCATAAAATAAATATTGGTTAGTTGGGAATCGATTAATTAATTAACAGAAAAATTTTTTAATTCCTCTGTTTTACGATTTTTGTAATAAAACAAATAATGGCGAGTTCGATGTAAATTAATTAATAAAAGACAATACTCATTTTTCTTGTTTTAGATTCATGCGATAGAATTAGAGAATGGTAAGTTCGATATAAAGCTATAAATCAGGAATTATATTTATATCTCTCTTTTTCAGGTTTACATGATAAAATGAGAGTTGGTGAATTCGGTACTAAATAGATAATATACAACATTATTAGTACTTTTTCTTACGTTTCTGCGAAACAATAAATTATCGGGAGTTCGATATAAATTACTTAATAGGAGGCAATATTGGTATTTCTTATTTTAGAGTCATGTGCTAGAAAAAAAGAGTGATGAGTTCGATTTAAATTTATAAATTTGAAGTTATATTTATACCACTTCTTTCCGGTTCACATGAGAAAATGAATACTAGTGAGCTCGGTATTTATTAAAGAATAGACAACATTATGCATATGTTTTTTTTAGGTTCTTGCAATACAATGAATCATGATGAGTTTGATGTAAATTACTTAATAGAGAAACAATATTGATGTTTCTTGTTTTAGATTCACGAGATGGAATAAAAGAATGGTGAATTCGATTTAAACTTATATACTAAAGATGTAACTTATACCTCTTGTTTCAAGTTCACACGATGAAATAAGTACTGATGAGTTCGATAATAATTTATTAATATAAAATATTAGTCATATTTCTTTTTTAGGTGTTTCTGATAGAAGTAATGATGATGAGTTAAATATTAAATAACTAATGGACTACAATAGTGATACGCTCTGTTTTATATTCATTTAGCAGAGGAAAAAAAATGATAAGTGCGATGTATACCTATAAAGTAAAAGTATTGTTTATATATTTTTTTTAGGTTCGAATGATAAAATATGTGGTGTTAAGTTCGATATTATTCAGTTACGCAAATACATTATCCATATCTGTTTATTTGGTTTTTGCAAAATAATAATTAATGATGAGTTCGATATAAGTTAAGTAATAAGAATCAATATTCATTTCTCTTGTTTCAGATTCATGTGATATGGTATAGAATGGTGAGTTTGATTTAAATTTAGAAGTCAGAAATTATATTTGCCTCTTTTTCAGGGTCATATGAGTAAATGAATACAGGTAAGTTCGATATTGATTAATTAGTAGAAATTATTTTTCATATTTGTTTTTAGGTTTTTTACGATGCAATAAATTATAGTGAGTTCAATATAAATTAAGTAATAAGAAACAATACTCATTTCTCTTGTTTTAGATTCATGTGATATGGTATAGAATGGTGAGTTTGATTTAAATTTAGAAGTCAGAAATTATATTTATGCCTCTTTTTAGGTTCATATGAGTAAATGAATGCAGGTAAGTTCGATATTGATTAATTAGTAGAAATTATTTTTCATACCTATTTTTAGGTTTTTTGCCATGCAATAAATTATGGTGAGTTCAATGTAAATTAAGTAATAAGAAACAATATTCATTTTTCTTGTTTTAGAATAATGCATAGAATAAAAAATGGTGAGTTCTATTTAAGTCTATAAACTTAAAGTATCATTTATATCTTGTTTTTTGAGATTCGTATGATAAAACGAATACAGGTAAGTTTGATATTAATTAATTAAGAGAAAAGAAAACATTATTCATATCTCTTTTTTAGGTTGTTGTGGTATGAAGATAATGGTGAGTTCGATATAAACTTACTAACAAGAGAAAGCAGTGATTTCTGTTGTTTTAGATTCATGTGAGAAAGGAAGAAAAAAACTGGTAAGTTAAATTTAAACTTAGTTGTTAGATTTTATATGTGTGTCTCTTGTTTCAGCTTCAGATGATAAAAGAAATAATGATGATTTTAGTTCCAAACAATTAATGAGTACCATTATTCATGACGTTTGTTTTTCAGTCTTTTGCTACAGAATGAATCATGGTGAGTTTGATATACATGAATTAATTGAAAACAATGTTAATATCTCTTATTTTAGATTAGTGTGTCTGAATCAGAAAGGGTGGGTTTGATTGAGTTTCATAAATAAAATCATATATTTCTTGATTAGGTTTAATTAGTGGAGTACAGCTGTACAGGTTTGGTTTATTGGTATTAGTTGCAAAGAGATTTCATGTTGGTTGTCTTTGGTTCTTGTTGTCGGATAAATAATGGTGAGTTCAATTGCATACGAATGAGTGCTGATTTTCATTGTTATGTGTCGTTCTAGGTTGCATTGATATTAATCTTAATGTTGTGTTGAACTCAAAAATGTGAATAGAAATTCAAAATTATATGTACGATTCAAGTGGATCTTGAAAAACAAGTAATGGTGAGTTGTTTTTTGATTTTTCAATTCGTTATTATCCTTTTTTTCTGCTCTCAAGTCCTGTAGGTAACATTGCATGCATTGATCTGAAAAATCCAAGTTCTATCCATTAAAGTTATCTTTTACATCATCTGATACTTATTTTCTGCAATCAGCTGTATCCTATTGGAATATTGAGATTATAATAGACAAAATTCGTCTAATGATTCGTTTGACGTCTCCTGTTACAGATGAGGATGAGTTTTCATGTGAGAATCCCCTGTCCTTTTTGAGTGAGTTATACTTGCACTACCCTATGAAGAAGTCGATGAATGTTCGTACTGTTGCCTGGTTATATAAGTTACATATCAGATGTTCGAAGCTTAGATGGAATCGTAAGCAGAATTAGCCTCTAATAAATCTTTTCTCTTTTGTTCTCGTTCGATTCTTGTAAAATGCTATCGTTCCATAGTTTTTTCCTGTGTCCTACCATCAGATGTGTCTTTACAACATGAGTTATGACGGAACTCAGAGGTATACTTGATGCAACTGTTCTGAGCTTCCGTTTTTGAGTAGAATTTCATATGTCACACAGGATCTTCCTTCTATTTTTCGAATTGAATTTTATTCTGCAAAATATTTGAAACGTCTATTTCGATTTCAAGCGTTACTCTTGAGCATTTTAACATTCAGTTAGTCTCGATTCATGTCGTGATGTGCAGTATCCTATGTTTAATGAGCTTGAGACAGTTGAATTCATGCATGGTCGTACGCATAGATCTCTTCCACCTTAAAACGTCTTAGAAAGCACTCTTGTTTACGTCTTAACAATGTAGAAAGGCAGCTAATTGCGACTGATATTCACGGATCCCAACTATGAGCTGAAGTCAATAAGGAATAGTAAATGTGAACCGGTTCTGAAGAGAAGAGGGTTTAAACATTAAAGAGTCTCAGCTTAGTTTAGAAGGTATAATGCTAACGTCCATTTTTTCTGATCATGATCTATTCTCCATTGAGGTCCCGACTATAAGTGTAAAATAGGAACTAAAACTAAATCTTAACTGTTTTTGGAAATGAACCATTTAAATGTTAGAGATTTACAGCGTAGTGGAATAAGAATCACCTTGACGTTCAGTTTGTCTGGACGTGATACGTTGCGAATCGCGGTTCCCGATTGTGAGTCAGAAATGATAGAAAATTGCTAATGTGAAATGATTTCAAGAAATATACCATTTAAACGTTGAGTTTTTCGGACGTAGCGAAGAAAAGGATCGTTTTAGCGTCCATTTTTACTGACCGTGACCGGTTGTCAATCGAGGTTCCCGACTGGCAGTCAGAAACGGTCGGAAATTATTAATGTCAAATTGTTTCAAGAAACTTGGCGTTTAAACGTTAAGTTTTTCCGACACAGTGAAAAAAAGGATCATTTTAACGTCCATTTTTACTGACCGTGACCGGTTGTCAATCGAGGTTCCCGACTGGCAGTCAGAAACGGTTGGAATTTATTAATGTCAAATTGTTTCAAGAAACTTGGCGTTTTAACGTTAAGTTTTTTCGGCATAGTGAAAAAAAGGATCATTTTAACGTCCATTTTTACTGACCGTGACCGGTTGTCAATCGAGGTTCCCGATTGTGAGTCAAACACGGCACGGAATACTAAACGTGAAAATGATATTGTATTGATGAAATGAAAATATTCAAATTTCATTAAGCATGAAAAAGAGACCGTTTTCACGTTCACTTATACTGGTCGTTAGTGACACACAATCGGGAACCTCGATTGACATCCTGACACGGTCGAAAATCTCTGCGCGTTTAAACGCGTTTTTTCACTTTTTTGTCTGCCTGGGAAGTGTGATTCTTCTTGGGTGACTCGTGAATTACACGAAGGTAGAACTATTGAATCGGTATTGTGTGGTCATTCTGAGAGACTCGCAATAGTATTCAATTTGATACAACGGCCTATGCCAGAATTCATTCAAATAACAAAAAATTTACGTGTTTATGGAGATTGTGGTAAGTTAGATTTTTTTCCATCGATCATTCTTAATAATATGTATCTTTTTTTTAAATTTCAGATGAATTCACAAAATTAACGGCAAAGATTCGACAAGTTGACATCATTGTTCGTGATGCTAATCGTATCCATCACTTTAATAAAAACGGACAATGTCCTTGTCAAGATCATTTTTCATCTTTTTTTTGTTTTTTTTTCTGTTTTTTGTTTTTTTTTTGTTATGAATATATTATTCTCCTTCTCGTAGAGGAGTCTAGCATGAATTAATTTTTTACTTGCTTGATTGTATGTTCGCACTTCAGTGATTGGTCCAAGAATAAGGTGAAAATAAAAGGGATTATTTTCCATAAAACTTGACCAAAGGGTAATCGAAGGTGGGGGAGTTCAAATCTGTGATTACTTTTAATTAATTATTAACCAATTATTAATTAATTATCAACTAACCATTAATTATTAATGTTTTCTATAAAACTTGATCAAAGGTAATTGGGGGTGAGGAATCCAAATCTGAGGTCAGTTTTAATTAATTAATAATGAATTGATTAATAATTATTAATTTATTTCAAAAAAACTGGCCAAAAGTAATCGAGGATGGAGAATCCAAATCTGGGGGTCTGTTTTAATTATTAATCATTAATATTTTTTACAACACTCGAAAAGGGGAAATTAAGGGTCAGGAACCTAAATTCAAAGTCTGTTTTGATTTTTTTTTCTAAGTACTACTATTATGAATGTTGTTTCTAGAAAACTTAATCAAAGATTTTTCAAATAAAAAACGAGAATCTATGATAAGTTTATGTTAATAAGCTAGCAATGCTAAGGAGTGGTAAAACATACTAATTTCATCATAGTTTAGGAAAAAAACTTCACTAGAGGAAATTCAAAAACAAGAATTTCAATCTGGAACTAGTTACTATTACTAGTATAGATAAGTGAATAATTTGAGAAGAGTCCAGAAACAGCACTGCTACGAGAAAGAGTTGAGCGAGTCCACAGACGAGTGTTACTTGTTGAATAAAGAACTCATTACGTATATC